CAGGTCATTTAGAGGACCATATGTTTGGTTTCGTGATTCACTCGCTCAGTCATGACCGTCGCCTGGTTTTGTGATTGTAGCTGAATGGACAGCGATCACCAGGCAACTGATCGCAGTTGCGCACCTTTCCCGTGGATTGTATAGCACAATCCATATTTACATCTTTATTATGAGTTACCGTTCTCGCTCATTCTCACAGAGGTCAACAAACTTGCATATGTTCACATTATCTTTTCAAACATTCCGTATTAAAAATAAATTTGTACCGCCCAATTTCAAGAGGGGAGGAGGAGCGGTTAATCATAGACCATTTGTGTACAATCAGAAATGGCGAAGTAAGGGGACGGCGGTGATAGCTGTGGAACATGGAATTTCGGAATCCATGTGAGTGAAGTGTACATTGCCCGATTATAAATTTGTAATAGATCAGCAATCCTCTCATGCCGACTTCTCAATTTTCCTCCACAAATTGACATTTTCCGACCTACTCCTGAATTGTTCCATTCCACAGATGTATCTTCCCTGGGGTTGGAAATCGTTCCGCTGTAATCGACATAACTCGTCCTTGTCCACCTGGAGAGTACCAGTGTCAGGACGGTCGATGCCTATCGTCCAATTTATTCTGTAACGGTCGTCCCGATTGTCCTGACGGTTCCGACGAGTCTCAACGCTACTGTGGTGAGTACAGACCAAATCCCCCCTTTGCAGAAACGTAGGAATTTGTAGCCAACTGGAAACAAACAGAAAAAGTTGGTAAAAGATTAAGCATAGAGTTGAACTGTATGGAACCTTCAAGTAGTAGATAGTAGGCCTGAAAATAAATAGGTTGAAATTTTTTCGCTTCTATCTCTACTTCTTATCTTTGAGAATGTCCAAGTAATTGGGTTAGGTTGTCCTAAGTACCAGCATTTTTGGTGATACAAATTGAATGTGCTTCAAAATTACACTTCACCTCGAGTCACACAGTCATCCATGCATTCAGGCACTCTGGAAAGCGCAGATTTGAGTTTTGTTCGAATACAAATATTAGTTAGACTCTCCAGTCAGAGCAAAAATTAAGTCCAGTACTTCCCGACTGAACGAGTGACCGAAAGAACTGCAGTTTTGGGGTGATGAGAAGTTCTGAAGGATGGTACGTTTGTAGCGTCTTTTGGACCAGTGATTGGGAATCTATTGATTATTATTATTGACTTCTTATAGTTGTGCGAGACTATCGTGACAGGATCAAACTGCTCACGTCGTTCATTGATTCGCGGACGAGTAGGCACAGAGTAGTGAATCCTAATCGATTTATGTTGCTTGAATGCTTAATAATAGGGTAACTGATGATAAATAACCTATGTTATTACCAGGCTGATATGTGATTTAGACCGAAAAAGTTGTAGTGCACGGACCGGTCTTTCTGCGTACACAGTACCAGTTATAAAGTTTGATGAAAATTGGCTTGATTGTTATTCACAGTACCTAGGTACTATCAGGCTTTGTTGTATGACTTATGTACGGAGCACAGCTGGTGCTGTTGAACTATTTAATATGCTCACCGTACGGTCGATTTGAACAATCTACTTTCTCTATGCTTGTTACTGATATTACTACTAATAAAACCACCGGTAGACTGGCTGAAATCGCGGCAATGAATCATTCGTTCCGCGGTTGATCCCGCTACCACGTGATGATCAGTCAAGAGGCAACGGTCTATAAATGTCAGTGCGCCGGCTGTCACAGAAAAAAGGATAGCACTGAGAGGACGAATCCAGAAAACCGTCCTAACAGCACATAGATGATATTTGCTTGATTACTCCCGACTACTCCCTCACTCTACTTGCTTTCAGCTGACCAACCGTATAAACACGTTAAGTGAACCCGGTACTCCAGATCCTTTGAACACCACTGATTGATAACAACTTGGTAAAGCGGAGCGCACGTTGTTGAAACAGCTTAGCTTTGGAGTATGTAACGTGGTGTGTAGCTGCATGGTTTCTCATTCGACAGAAGTGTTTGAATGGGCATGAACTCCTTCTTCAAATATAAATTATTTTTTCCGTTCTGATCCAGGTGTGGATGTGGTCGTCACTCCCGGTTCGATTCGTACGAAGCCGTTCGAAATGTTCCGATTCGAGTGCAATTCGTCTGTGCCGGGTACACAGCCCATGGTTCTGTTTGATGGTCTTCCAATACAGTCGGATAGCAGATTTGTGGTCATCCGACCGAGCACGGAACAAGTGGTTGTCATGGCTCCGCAAGGTTTGCCCGATCATGGTGGACACATCTTCAGGTTCGTTTAGCGCACACAAAGATTGATCAAATTCGGGCAAAATGATTTCTCTCATTTTGGAAATGCATTTAAGTTTCCATTATTATACGTGTATATCGATAGCTATGGGTAAGGAGTATTTATTCCCAAATTTATCTGCCACTGCAATTTTCCTAGTTCTCTTTTATAACCGTTTGAATTTGTGCCACCATGAATGTGGACTAAAACTTGTAGTAGTTTTAAAGATACAGAATTTAAAAAATATTTTACACAAGCATCGGGGAAGTTCATTCTTTTTAATAAATGATTGCTGTCTCGTGTGGACGTTTATTCTGGTCGATACACGTATTCCGAGATAGCAAATCTTTTTTCATTCAGTACACGCAAATAAGAATACCTTAAATAAATTGATAAAATGTGAGTCACTTTTCCAATGGATTTTGTTTCACCTGTGAAAAGAAGTAAACATACCAATGAATTGGAAAAGAAGTAATTACTGAGCGCCTTGATGTCGTGCATGCTATTCTGAATAGCTCGAAATTTGCTGCACTGACCGGGCACATTTTCAATAACTCTCACTTCCGAGCTTCATTCACAAAATCCGTGTTTTTCCTGGGATAAAAGTTACTATCAAATCTCGCTCAAGGAAGATGGTGGAAAACGTTTAGACCTCATTGAACATTATATTTCACATTTCGGTAACTTGTGGATGGGTCAAGTCCAATGTGGAGTTCATTAAATTGCCTCCCAACAGATAATATTTTCATGTAATCGAAAACTTTCCCCGCTGCTGGAAAGAAGGACAAGTTAGCTATATCTACACTGAACGTCATTGAGCAGATTGTGATATGTAATATAGGAAACTGATAAATGCTGCTTAACAGTCAGCTTGGTGCACTCCACGCCAGAGCACCGGTGTTGAAAAATAAAGAAGGGTAAAAATGGAACATTGACATAATGAAAGTGCAATATCTTTATCATATTCATGAGTCATTTTTATAAATAAATTCCAATGATGTCCTTTTACCAAGGCTTTGCTACTTTACAACTGATGCACCAGCAACCGCCCTCAAAATACAGAAATCATACATTTTTTCTGAGATTAGACTAATAGAAGCAAAGACTTCGGTCGACATTGGTACAGGTTTACTGCGTCGAATGTGGAGCAATAGCACATTCCATTTCACAAATGAGGCTCGAAACACTAAGCGTTGAGAGGAGCAAACCTGATGATAGTCAAATTTTAGCACGAGTTCGATCAACACCAGTATGGATCTATTTAGACAGATATACGGATTCCCGGTTGCTCTCAATTTCTCAATTAATATTAGTAGTAGTAGTAGTAGCGTTATTTTAATTTCATCTCTACGAGAGTTTGGAGTTAAAACAAAATCCTACATGCTAGCTGGAACCAAGCCGAATACGAACTTTTGTAGGAAAGAAATACCAATGATCAGCTCATTAGGACAATGAGAGCTATTTCTCCTTTTCCACGAAATTGGTTTAATATTTATAGCCATGACAACTTTAATGAGTACCAAAGGATCAGTTCTGTACACATCGAGTGAGAATGAAACAGCAAACCATGAGCAGAATAGTATGTATGGGTGACTCATGAGTACATTTTTTAATGATCCTCTTTTTCGCTACTCGAACTTACTTAACAGGGAAGTCCGCTTTCTTCGGGCCCCTTGCGCTTGGTCTGCATTCTGTCAGTTTAGTTTGAAGTGATTGGTAAAGTCATGAATTCAATCCTAATAATTCATGTATATCGGCTAAAGTTGAGGATTTTGGGGCCGGGAGCGGGATTATAGTGTTGTGCAAAAATGGAACCTAGTCAGTGTTATTCAATCGCGCTGTTCTCATTCTCCTCCAGAAATTCGTTACTCATCGAGTGGTGCGTATTTCATCTGGGTAAAACAAAAGAAAGGGAATAGATTGCCCAAGCACCGAACCATTTGCATTGCTTTTGTAATTCTTTTTCCCAAATCGATGATCTTAGTCGCAATACGAAAGTGAACTACCCGTTTGGGCGGGTAAACTATTGCTCCAAGGTTCTCAAGTGTCACTTTTT